ACCCCCTTCCCCTCCCCCTTTTCTGATGAAGGGTCTAGGCCCGAAACATCAGCCTCTCTGCTCCTATGATGCTGCTTGGCCTGCTGTGTTCATCCAGCCTTGCACCTTGTTGTCTCGGATTCTCCAGCATCTGCAGTTCCTACTATCTCTGATAGCAGCTCAGAGACAGGCACCCATACCCCCAGGCCAATGTTCCCTAGTGCCAACAAGCTCAAAATAAAGCACAGCTTGGTGTGACAGAATCTCACCCTTCACGGCGGGGCTATAAGGAGGATTACATTTCAAAGCAACAAAGTTTGTTAATCTCAGACTCTCGACCTCATTTGTAGAATTGTGCACAGTTCTGATCTGCTCTGTATCTCAGGGAGAAGCAGCAAAATAGATTGACACCACACTTTCAGAAGTGATAGGTGACTACTAGGAAAGGCTGACCAAACTGGTGCTTTTCAGAGTTCGGAACAGGGAAGATGGCCTGACATGGGTCTTTAAAATTAAGGAGGGCTTTGAATCGTCTAGATGCAGAAATGATGTCTCCATTTCCAAGCGGGAACATCACTTAAAGATGAGTCACGAATAGGACAAATGACAAAATTCATGAGAAATGTTATCAAGCAGAGAGTGGGGAGGATCTGGAACCTGCTTCCTCAGGGAAGTAGGTGAGGTGAATCCCCAAAGAGCTGGGGAAATTCAGCCTTTGATGCTGCTTGAGGCACTGATCAACAGGGTTGCCTCTAATGTTCTTAAAAGCTGCACAAGATCTCTGAGGTCCATAAGTGGCATCTCTCCTGGAACTGAAGTCAACATCATGATTGGCATGCCATGGAACATTAGAACAGGCAGGTAGCTTAGAGGGAACATTGATCAATTCACTTCTAGATGCTAATGTCTAGGGGATAGCATGGGAAAGGGCCATTGAGATGGATGACCAGCCATGATTTGTACTGAATAGCAGAGCAGCTGAACAGCCTACTCCTGCTCCTATGTTCTGAACAGAGTAGATACAGGGAAATCTAGACAAGCTCACGAGGGAGAAAGGAATACAAAGGTATACTGACAGTGTTAGAGGAAGAAGCTTAAACACACATACCAATGGATTCAAGAACCTCTTCTACCCTGCCGTTATTAAATTTCTGAATGGATCTCTCAAATTTTACATTTAATGTTGATCTCACTCTTTGTACACCTTCTCTGCAGCCGTAACATTGCATCCTTCGCTCTGTGACCCTAATGCACTTTGTATGGTACGATCAGCCTGTGCTGCACACAAAACTACTCACTGTACCCAGGCACATGTGACAATAATAAACCACATCAAATAGTGGGAGGATACTTCTGTGGATTATAAACACCAGCATAGACCATCTGGGCTGTTTCTGTGCTGTAAACTCACAAAGTTATTGCTGCTGAGCCAACGCTGGGCTAACACAGTACAGATCAAAGATCAAACCTGCACTTTGCTGGCCTCCACATCGGATCTGCCCACTGCCCCTACCCTTTGAGAAACATGCATATTTCTTTGTTCCAACTGGTGTATTTAAATGCAAAGCGAAATGTTCAAAAGCCTACGGGCACTTTTTACCTAAAATCCTTTCGGATGAGATGTTAAAATGTGATCCTGCCTGCTCTCTCCGATGGACACACTAACGATGTTTTGAAGGCGGTGGATGTGTTCTGCCTGGTTTTCTTATCAATATTTAACCCCTAAATCAACACCATAAAACAAGCAAACAAGTGGTGCAGTGGTAGTGTCCCTACCTCTGAGCCAGGAGGCATGGGCTCAAGTCCCACCTGCTCCAAAAGTGTGCAATAACTTCTCTGAATCAGAAAAAGAAAACTGACACAGGTAAAATATGCTCATCGTGTCACTGTTTGTGAGGGATCTTGCTGTACACACATTGGCTGCCATTGACTACATGTCAGACGTCCTTCAATGACTGAAAAGTGATTGGGAGAGTCCTAAAAATGAGAAGGTGTTAGTCAATGGCAGTAAAATGCATGCCAAAAATAGAAAAATAGACCCTTCGGTCTAACTCGTCTGCGCTGACCAGATACCCCAATCTGACCTCGTCCTATTAAACCAGCTTTCCTTCCACTGACTCTGTCTAAACTTCCCACTGGCTCAGGAAAGCAGCCAACATAATCAAAGACCTCTCCCACCCTGGTTATACTCTCTTCCACCCTCTTCAATCAGGCAGAAGATATAAAAGTTTGAACACACGTACCAGCGGATTCAAGAACAGCTTCTTCCCCCTGCTATCAGACTTGTGAATGGACTCCTTATATATTAGAGTTGATCTTTCTCTGCACCTTCTCTGTAGTTGTAACACTATATTCTGCATTCTGTTCTATTACCCTGATGTACTTATATAAGTATGATCTGTCTGTTAGAGCACACAAAACAATACTTTTCACTTTCTCTCAGTACATGCAGCAATAGTAAATCAAATTAAATCATTTCTGTACAGCACACTCTACTGTCCCTCAGCAGTGAAATGGAATAACCCTGTCCATGGCAGGAGGTACCAACAAAAGGCTACAAGAAACAGGCTTCCCAGTATTGGTTGAACATTTTTCCAGAGGTTCACATGATTTCTGGTATCCAAAACAGGGCTGCTCAAACAACGCTTTCTCCCAACTGCAAAATCATCCAAAGAATGTGAAAAGTGTGACTTTTTTTTAGAAAAATGGCCTTAAGGACCCTCTTATGGTGCAATGGTAGTGTCCTCATCCCTGGACTGGGAGGATCAGGTCCAAGTTCTTCCCACTCCAGAGGCGTGCAATAATGTCTCTGAACAGGTTGGCAGGGAAAAAAAATCGATTTAAAATGGCCTTATAATTATGCGCTCCCGCAGTTTCACTCGATGCAGTATCTAGGAGAAACGTTTATGTCCTGGAGACCGTGGGACTTTCTTGGAGAGTTGGTAACACCGTGGCTGATGGGTGAGGAGCCCGGGCAGGCTGACTGCCTGCCTGAGGAGTATGCCAACTTTGCCAACCCCTTTGCGCAGAAGCAAACCTGGGAACCAAATAGGAATGAGGGGGAGACCTCAGGATGTGATACAGTTGCCAAATCTGAAGGAATTCCTTTTGTGTGATGGAGGAGCTAAGTGGCTGCATACTGGTCTAGAAACTAGTGATTTAGCTGGCTTCTTTGTGTCGAGTGTAAGATCAGTGCAGTGTGCACTAATTCCACCCAGTTAATCATTACCTTTACTTTCATTAACTACGGGACAATATTACACAGTACAGTGAGCTGGCTACAAACAAACAGCAGCTTAAATCAACGACACCTACAGCGCGGTTGAAGCACTGACTCAATTCTCCAGTTTCTTTTAAAATGAACAGACTGCCTCAGAACTAATCGAAATGATCAACCAGAAACCCAAAGGCTGATCGATAAAATACAAGCCCACTTTTCCACTCACTCCTAGCTCCTCTCTTTCCTGATGTAAAGATATTAATTCTTGTGGGGTGTTTTGCTTTCCCTGGGCTGTGGGTGTTTTCGGTTAGCACAGTGTTGGATGCCCAGTGATGATCCTGGGGAAGGTGGCGCAGGGCACCTTGTTGACCAGGGGCAGGTACACCTGCAGTGCCCTTCCGGAGGTCAGCATTGTGACCCCGTGGCAGTGAACCCGCCGGAAGTTTTCCAGTGGCTGCAAACTCAAACTCAATGACTCCCTCTCACCCC